AAATTAGTTTGCTTTCATGACCAAGATTGTGTAAACCTTGGACCAAATTTGGAGGCTAAAGAATCTAACATTCGAATTCAGAGACGAAAATGCAACTCGAACTATAGTTGAGGACGATTTCTACTATTAAGCCAGATTAGTGTGGGCAGAGGGCACAATATAGCATTATTAGTCCATAAACCAATCAATAAAATAAACCCTTTGATCTTGAATGCGAAGAAAACCCATATGAATGCCAATGCCAATGCCATACAAACAACCAAAACAAACAATCACTTTTGGTAATTGAAAAGATGAAATGAAATTCTGAATACCTTTTTGGGGAAGAAAAACGGTGGGAGATCCGAACCCGAGGAGGCAAAACGCCGAGCTGCAATCTGTGCAGCTGACTACTCAATGGAACCATGTTTGTTACAGTCAGCCAGGGATGTTTTTTTCTGGAGTTTCGAGGTTTCAGAAGAAAGAAAGAAGGAAACAGGGGCCCATGAGAGAAACAACAGAAACTTTAAACAAAACAAGTGGAATTTTGGAACAAAAAAGAAACAGAGAAAAGTGGGGAAATCATGAAAATTTGGGATTTTTCGGGAAATCCGACGTGGACAACCTTGTCCCTCCCCGAAAAGTCATTTCCTTTCCTTTGCACGCTTGCAACTACAGTGGATAGTCGCTGTCCAACCCTTTGTCGTCGATTGTTCATTGTTCATCAACAAGAACACCAAAAGTCTGATATTTGATGGTATTTCTCTTTTATTAGGATTGCCAACAGTGGTTCTTAATTTTCGTATTCCGATCTCATCAACAGCAATCAAACAATACATCAGCGTCTCACATGAATAAAATAATATCCGAACTTATTAGGGTACGATTGGCTTCTCTTTGCATTTTGTCTATTTCACGTGTTATCGACATTCTAAAAACGTATTTTTTTAATTGGAGATCAACACGTGTTGATGCACAAAATATAATAGATTTTGGAACAATGTAAAGTGTCAAGCTGTAACATTCACAAGGTTGCTTCGGTAAAGTGTAGGTAATATGTAAAAAGATAGAGACAAGAAAACAAATACAAGATATATATGGTTTACCCTAAGTTAGGCTACGTCCACGAGGATAATGGAGTTCTCTTTAATAATATAGAGTTTACATAACGCAAAGATTCGAACATAAATCATCATTAGTAAGTTTTAATAATGGGTTAAGTGGAATAATGTCATTATTCATTAGTTGTGGGAGAATGGTCTCCTTTTATAGTCACACGCTTTTGTCCGAGATCGATGTGGGACTCTATGAGCTTTATTGTGATATTAACATGTGTCACTTTGTAATTAGTCTTCTGGTTTGAGAGAAACTCTTGTACTTCGACAATAGTACGGCTAGTGCCTCAACACAAATCCTTCAATAGAGCTCTGAAGGTATAAGATTGATTGGTACTTGATAATTTTGGAACTGATAAAGTATGATACAAACAAAACGCAAATAGGCTATGATACCACGAAGGATCCTAAAACTAATTTAACAGTAGTGGATGTAATTCAACTCAACTCCAACCACATGGTTGGCAAGAAAGTTAGAATGCCTACTTGGACGGAAAAGGATCCAAGTATAACTTTTTGTAATATAAATCGACTTTATATGAACAATTTTTACCGATGAAACATGAAAAATTATGGAGGGGATTGACATGTTCTACATCTGTGCTACTATTATTTTTATAATGTTGAAGGTATCTCACAATAATATCACCAATATGAGTATATCGTCGATTACTAGCTCGTATGGTTTGAATACACATCAATTCTCGAGCTATGCTGTTATCCACCACATTCAAATGGGTTTGAGGTTGAATCATATCATTTTTTTTATCGGATTTTTTTTTTTCAATGCAAAGCAAAGGTATACATAAATAAAAATTAATATATATATATATATATATATATTTGTTCAAAAAAAAAAAACAAAAACAAAAACAGAAACTTGCAATTGTTTTTTTTCTTTTTCATCCCAAAAGCCCCTTCCATCCCTTGGATAGATAGAGGAGGGGTAGAGCTTTTGGTTTGTCATGTTATCAAAGAGTTGAATTATGATTTTTCGTGTTGTCAAAGGGTTGGTGGCATACTAATTTCTCTTTCCATGTAGCCCGAATACCGCAAGAGACGGTGGGCATACTTTTGGCACCTGAATTAAACGACACATCAAAGCAAAGCCAATGGGCCCAAGGAATGCATATGTGGTAGTTCAAATTCGGATTGAAAAGCTCCAATTCTTTGCTCACTTTTCACTAAATCAACCCTTTGGAGTTTCTATACTACTATTTAAAAACTAATTCTATGTGTGACGCGTAGTAAGAGACTAGTGATCACTTAGTGAAGCAAAATGACGATGGAGAACAAAGACAACACAAGAAGCAATGAAAGTGGGGCAGGTGGGGATGCTAAATCTAATTGTACTGGCGTGAAATATGTCAGCCAAAGTTGCACGGTTGAGAAGCTTGAAATAAAGTACTCAGGCATGCGCATCAGTACTAGCAAACATGACCCAGTTGTCCCAGGTTTGGCTTCATAAAAACCAATTCACTGGTCCGATCCCAGACCTCTCAAAGTGTGAAACTTTGTTCGATCTCCTTCGGCTCTTTCTCTCTCTCTCCTGTGGCACAAATTAGACTTTAAATCACAATGCGTGGTTTCCACATTTGCCACATCTTCTTTTAACAGTTAATTTAACGAAGTGATTAACGGTTGTACGAAATTAAACTAAAATAATAACTAATTTATAAGATTGAAATGTTTTAAGGATAATTCATCGAATTTCTTAAATCCAAACTAAAATAATAACATCCCTTTCATATAATTTCCTAATACATAAAGATATATTGACTTTACATAAAATTATAATTTACCCTAATAATTTCTTTAGTGCATGTATTGTTGGAGAAGGGGATTTAAACTTGGCACGTCTACAAACAGTGCAAAAGAAAATACTACAAAAGAATAGTTAGTTCGACTCTAATTTTTATCTTTCCTAACCAATCGAGATAAAAGCCTAAAATAAAAAAAAAACAACCTTAATTCATCGTGATTCATCTTGCTCATACTGAGAGAGCCGATGATCCATCGTCGTAGATGTTGAAAAACAAATCGCCATCACTCTCACACAAGGCATAGACGATGTCACCATGGTTGCCCTTTTTGAAAGATCTCTTTGTCAATAACAATCCAAGAATTTGCACAAATTGATATACTAGTTCAAACTTTTATCTACTTGTATAAATTTATAAAGTAAAAGGCTCTTTTGACAAATTTTTCTGATTTATTTTTAAATAATCTTCATCCTAAGGGCCAATAATATGTTGGAAGCATGATTCATGAATAGTCAATTCTTTGTTTTATCTGAGCACAGAGCACCCTTTTATCCCGATCCCATACTTATATATGGTCTGAAGAAAAAGATACATTTGCTCGACAAATTAAGCGGATAAACTCCCACTTCGAAAAATATTTGCTTGACTCGACTGCTTATAAGTAGTTACAATAATCATTCATATTGCTGAGTCCAATAGCACGGATTTATAACTAAGCGGTACATTCACTAAGTGAAATCCATCAAGGTGGGTAAAGGCCACAACCATTAAATTGGAGTACCATAGTAACCACACTCTATGGTTCTCAAGAGTAGGGCACCCCACTCCCTATGTTTGGGTAGCAAACCACAAATTGACTATGTTATGTTTAAAGAATAATCAGCTCTAAAGTAAAACAAATAAACGTTTGATAATTTGTATGCTTAAAATTGTGAGTATAGTAAAAATCCTATATAAATGAGTAATTTTGAAGAAGTTATTAACATATCGATAAATAAATATTTATTAACTTATAAAAAAAAAAGTTTTTTTGAACAAACTATCTTATTACACTAAGGGGAGCGGGATTGACTTAACTTCACAATGAGTTAGCAATAATTTAGTTCAAATTTGTTTTTGACGATAATCGAACTTAAGACCTTTCACTTACAAATAAAGAGGAATACCACTAGACCGTAGTAAAATCCATAAAGACCCAAATTAGAAATAAAACCCTACGCTAGTGGCTCTAACTAATTTTTATAGTGAATTTTCTTATATCGACATGTTTTGAAAAATAGATGTTTTATATAGAAAGATTTTATTCACATGAGTGCTAAGTGCATGCGAAAGAGAGGCTAATAACTAATGAAAAGAAACAATAGAAGTGTGGCAAGTAGATACCTGCAAATGCTATTGTACTAGGGTGTGAGTCGTGACATCATTCAAAGTTGTCTCGTGCTATGCGAGTCTGCCACAACCATGGTTCATAGTTTACAAATTAAGTGGACGGAGTTCCACATCGGAAAGCACTTGCCTAGCACAGAACGGATGCTTATAAGAAGTTCTACTAAATATTAATGTTGCTGAGCTCAGTAGCATAGACTTGTAACTAAGTCGAGCATTTAAGTGATAGATACTGATGAAGCTTGAGTTATGTAGGGTAAAAGTGTTTAAATTTTGTACACAAACCACCATTTATGGAGCATGTGATCATACCAAGCACGTCATATGTTGCACGAGACGCCTCTCTAAAAGTGGGTAGCAAACCAACAAAGAAGTCAACAGACGGTTTAATTGGGATTCAACAGCCAGCGGCTGCCCAGATCCTACAGATGATGATGCCTGTACCTAGCGTACTGCCCGGCTCGACTTCCCCATCTTACGACCACTTTTTTGCCCACTCGTCCTAAATTTTTTCCAGTTTATGGTTGAAATCTTTACAGCTTTTCATTGGAATGGAATTGCGAAACTGGGTTTCAGCTTTTGAATGCAAAGTTTGCAGGATCTTGCCAACTTGATGTGGCTATCTCTTGATTTTGAGTGTTTTTTTTTTCTTTCTAAATTTCTTTTCTACATCCCAGAAATACGTGCTTCGAACTTGGCACCTAGTTCAATAGTCTGGAAGAGAATACCGCTAAATTAATAGCTCGTTGGTTGCATCCCTCTTGAATTTGAGTTTTTATTCCAAATGATTTTTTTTCCTACCACTTGAGCAGTAATTAACAGATTTTACACACGATGATAATAAAATTACAAGTAGGAACACGTGCTCGAAAATGCCAGATACATGATATTTATTGACAGGTACATAATAAATACTTAGACACGGCAATAATTCGACTCTAACCCTTGCCTTCCCTACATGAGATGAAAGCCAAAAGAGTTCCTCGCGATTCATCTTGCTCTGACTGGCGGAGCCGATGATGCATCATCGGAGACGTCAAAAAACAAATCATCACTCTTACTCAAGGCATAGACAATATCCACCATGGTTGGCCTTTTTGAAGGATCTTTATGCAAACAAGCAATGGCAACGGTTACAACATTCAGTATGCTCTCCACTGAGCATGACTCCGAGAAAAGTTCATTGTCCACCCACTCCCTGAGTTTCCTTGCCTTCTCTTCCTCATTTCCCTCCAAAATCCTACCAGCACTTGTCCACAAAACATTTCCATCTTCATCAATCGCCTCCTTCCCCGAAACGAGCTCTAATAACACCACTCCAAAAGAGAAAACATCCATTTTCGTTGACACCACCCCGTCAGCTAGATACTCTGGTGCAATGTAGCCTTGAGTTCCAACAATGTGCATTGTTATGGCATTGCAACCAGTCTTTGCTAGCCCAAAATTGGCTATTTTGGCTCTCATGTTCGAATCTAAGAGAATATTGCTGCTCTTGATGTCTTTGTGCACAACCCTCGGCCTAGTGTGCTCGTGAATGTATTGGAGACCGTTTGCAACGTCGATAGCAACTTGCATCCTTGTCTTCCAACTCAATTTTTCATTCTTGTTTTCATGCAGCCATGAATAAAGAGAACCATTTTCGACATACTCGTAAATTAGATAGCAACAATCATCCTCCGAGTCTATGCAGAAACCCTCTAGCTTCACCAAACTGCCATGGTTTACCTTCAAAATTCGAAAAGCCAGTATTTTGTCAATTATAATTCAAAATTGTGCACATAATCACATACTAATCATGTTTCAAAAGTAATTAAAGTACCCTATGCAAAGTAGTTAAAATGTCTGCTAATAACAGTATATTGGAAGTCATCAAAGTTTTTCAGTTCAAGTATGAGAAGCAATCTCATATGCACCCCAGTTGAAGTAAAATCTTCAATGTTCTTTTCTTTTTAAGGACAACCCGATAAATATTCTAAACTACTCGATGAATGATATATATTCTAAACTGCTCTAATCTACGTTAAATTCTGGATAAAAAAGAAAAGAGAAAAGTAAGTAAATGTTGTGTTTAACCTCACCAAACCTATTAAAATAACATGAAAAATGATTCCAACAACTGGATGGACCCTGCAATACCCTCCAACAAACAACTGAACTAAATAGAATGACTAAAAACCAAATTGTAAGGCTGCACATTTGGAAGTTTCTGCACATGGTTCACTTTGTTATCGTTCACCTAATACTTCATTTGACTTTTGATTTACTGAGACGATATTTTAAATTACTCTCTAATTTACAAGAAGAGAATTCAAATTTAATAAGATAGTGCAAGCCAACTAATTTAACACACGCTTCTACTTTTATTAGACTTCTTTGACACCCAATAACGCAATTTTTTACTTCATTCTTTATCCTTTTGGGATATGCATGATAATACATTATATCTATCTATCTATCTAGAAACTTAGAAAGCTCATTACCATTTGCCAAAAACTTTGGTCTAAATTTTAGAAATACATCATCTATGGCTACATTCAAAGGCTCTACATTTGAATATCCATTTAATTGGGCCACAAATGCGACACCACTGACGGCAGACATTTTTCCCAGCATTGTTTTCTTCCTAAGAATGCTTTAAACACAATTAATATCTAAAGCTTCCTGCCAAACAAGATATTCTATTATAAAAACTTAAAAAACTTAGTAAGCAGACAAGTCGCACTGCCAGATTACCTAAATCATATCATATATTAGCAGTAATTAATTGAATATTGCAACAGATCAGTTTTATAATGAGGCTTCTCAAGAGCTGTCCTAGTCTGAATCCTTTATCTTTTGGAATGTTTCAACCTTTGGCTCAAACAAGTCTGCATCTTCTACCATCTGTGCGTTTTTTCTTGAATACTTACAGACACTAAAGTTTCCACACAAATTTGCATAAAATCTGACAGTCCTCGGCCACTCAGTTTAAGTTGTCGGATAATCCAACGGTCAAACATGTGTAAGGCATTGAGAGTGCCTGTAGGTATTCAAGAAAAATCGCTATTTGTGACCTTGTTCTTGTCCCTCCAGCCAAAACATGCTTACGAACATTAAACTGCACTAATTAATAATTAAAAGAGAACAACCTTCATAAACGCCATGTTCTTGCTTAAGTAAGAAGTTTTGCTTAAACTGAAGGAGAAGAATCATTTAAATGAGCCGACACCGCGTAATTTGACAATGGTTCATATCCGAAACAACGTTTCACAACGTTTGTTTAGGTTTCATTTATTTTATTACTTTTTAGATATAAATCTAAATGCTAAAACAATGTGATTTCGACCATGAACATAATATTCCACATAGAAAATAATAAAGTAAAAGATCCTATGATCTATATATCAATTCACACTTAGCTAGCCCTTATTCACAACTTTCAAATTTGTATCGTGGATAGCTAGTTTGGTAAAAGATCCTATGATCTATATATCAAGTACCTAAAAATTAAGAAACAAAAACAGAGAAGAAAAGAAGAAGGTGAAATACCTTTTGCAAAATCTTGAGCTCCTCGTAGGCATTCCACTTCATCTTCTTGATGGCATAGAAATCTCCATTAATGGAGCCTTTATACACGGACCCTTCAATCAAGCTACTTTCTCTGAACCCATCTGTGGCCTCTCTCAACTCTTCAATCCCAAACACTTTGTACTTGTCCAAGCAATCCGAAACATCCGCCATCAAACCCACCTCCATTTCCTTCGCTCTCTCCGACCCCTGCTTGCTCTTGTACAGAACCTTATTCTCCTCATCTCCCTTCCCACCAATCTTCTTCTTCAGCAATCCGTCTCTGTAAATCAAAAACCCGACAACCAAAATCAGCACAAGTCCGATAATTCCCAGCCCAATTGCCAGCCCTCTGATCACTCCTTTCCTCTCTGTCTTCCCAGACGGTGCAGCAGAAGGAACAGTGGGTTGGGAGAGTACTGGAAGGCGAGCCACCGGCACGAAAACCGTGTCAAAAGGCTGGATGTTGTTGCCGTTTAAATCGGTTATGGCCTTTGCTTGCACCCCGAAAAATGAAGCAACGGTCGAGATGTTGTCAGACGGCTGGAAAACGTACGATATGAGGTAATTGGTTCCGTTTCCGACCTGGGTTTTGTTGGGGCACTTGCAGAAGATGGGAAAATAGGTGGTGACGCCGATGGTTAGGTTGGTGGCGACCAGATCAGGGTTTACGAGCTCGACGGACTGGAAGGTGGTGAGGTTTTGGAAGTTGTGGGTGGAGAGCTGGTAGAAAGTGTCGCCGGCTTTGATGGTGTAGGAGATATTGGCGTAGGAAATGGAGATGGAGGAGTTGGGGGAGTGGCAAGAGCATGAGAGGGGGACGAAGAGGCGTTGGCCGGCGACAAGGGAGGCATTCGGGGAGGAGATGTTGCTGGGGTTGGAGATCATGAGGCGGCTGACTTGGAAGAGGTCTCCGATGGCGGCGAGGTTGAGGAAGTCGGGGGAGAGGGCTCGGTACAAGGCGTAGGTCTGGCATGGGTAGGCGGTTTGGTTGGCTCTGGCTGAGCAGGTGTATCCTTCTGTGCTCGGAACTTGAGCTTCTGCATGGCGGAGGAGGTGGTGGCAGCTGAAAAAGAAGAAGCAGAGCAGGGCGGAGGAGACGTTCAGAGTTTTGGTTCTCATATTTTCTGGTTTTTTGTTTTTACGCTGAATGGCTTCTGATGTGTGCGTATATAAGTTGGCGGGTCTCGCCATAGATAATGACACAACTAAATAATAATAACAATAAGTGTAGCATTATTTCGTATTCAGAATTAAAAAAGCATTATAGTCAAAGACGCTTCCGTAGAGTTTCGTCTATTTTCCATGGTCAATTTTCCTACTGGTCCTACCACATGCATTTTTCCAACTAACACGTATTCATAGTCAACCAGGTCAATGGGCGTGGCCATCACTCCATAATCCTCTCTCCCTGATTTCTTCCGATCAAGTGGTTATACAAGATTGGATTTCTGATCAGAACATTAAGGCGCAATCTACCGGTCCTAAGTTGTAACACAACACTGAATTATTAGGGTGGCTGTAATTTAGCTTGTTAACGAGGTCATTACGACGTGACGTTCAAGTTCATGCTAGTGCGATTAATATTCAATAACAACTATTTTTTTAACTTATTCAAGGGGGAAAACTACTAATTGCTTCCCCTAGAAAGGGGTTGAGGTTGTGAACACAGACGTGATAGGACAAGGAAAGGAAAAATATCTGTGACAAAATTCAAGTCGCGCATTAATGTTTGACAGGAGAGGCCAAGTGGGTTGCCGTTTGGTTTGGGACGGATCGCACAACAGATTGATATTCTTACAAAACGCGATCAGGTTTGAAACCTCACACTTCCGTCCAGTGTTTGACTAATTGTACATAGTATGTTTTAAAAGTCAAAGTTATAGTACAATGTTGATTCCAGAAGCCAAATGAAAAACTGATACCTGGCACTGGCAGCCACACAGGTTGTCTTCCAACGCATGATGATTTAGAGGTAGAGTACAAATGATAAACAATTAGGCCTTGTTTGTTGGGTGGGATTCGTTTGAATTGATAATTTTCTAGATTCAATAAATATTAAGTGATTTGTGAACATTTTGACTAGTGAAGGTAAAAGATAAATTCGTCATGAAAATAACTTATTTATTCAAATCCTATCAATTTTGTGTAGACAAATTGTGCAAGTGTACATGCACTTCTTCATTCGATATTGATTGAATCTTTAACCTAATTTAACCCAGTAAGCCAATCATATACACCATATGAGGTCCAACTCTTGACAAATATGACCCTTATAGCTTCTTGAGCCTAACTATTACTGCACTCGATTGTTAATGATACTAGTGGAGGGGAATTTTTTTCTGTCTATAAATTATTTTTAAATGCTTCTCACTAATAATTGTTAGAGAGAAGTCAAGTGAGTGAGTAGTCATTTAACAGCGATGTGCACCATGATGAGCTACATTATATCTTTTATACACCATCCAATAATACATGACAAAATTGAAAGAGGACTAAATCAATCGCCATATACCTTTCATGCTCAAGTTGGTTGAGAACTTGAGAGTTGGGTGCGTGTTACTCACGATTCAATGACTGGAAATAAGATGAAGGTGCAACATATATGGAAGAAGGTTCATGCATAATTGGTCGAGCTGATTCAAGGCATATCTCGGATTGAGCAATTTCTGGTGAGTAAGTACAATCAGTTGCATAAAGATTTAAAAGCTTGGCAAGAAGCCATCACAAAAGAGGAAGGAATTTATCGAAGTGGTGATAATTAATCTAACCAATATGGTATTAATATTTATTATTAATAAATTAAAAATGTAATTAATATGTCATTATTTTGACCTTTGTTATGTAAATTTAATGTCGTTTCATAATTTTTTTTTTCAACAACTACAAGCACAAATGCAGTTCAATCTTGATAACAAGAAATCATTCACAAGGCATGAATGTTGAAACATTGTGAAGCATACTCCAAAGTACCAAGTTTTGCCTAGTGGTCCACAAGTTGAGTTGAATGAGACTCCATTGCACAAGCCAACTAATAAAGAGTCGTCATTGAAGACCCCAGAAACACTGAGGCATATTGGAAAGAAAAGAGCTGGAAGAGGGAGTTCGTCGAAGAATGATTATTCTAAGATAGTTGAGGAAATGGCTCGCCAACATGCAATGAATATAGAGCAAGGAAGGTTATCTTATGAGCAAGACAGGGCTAGAGATAAAACAAAAGCGAGAGAAATGGAGTTTCCTCTTCTTCTTTTATCTTATTTATTTATTTTGAGGTAACAAAATGGAATAGGCAAGAAATACAAGAGGAGAAGGATTGTGATACCATGTCCCAACACCTCGATGATATATCACATATTTAAAATGTTTTTGGAAAAGCGAGGAAGTTCCATACATTCCAAGGGAAGACGAAACGAGCCATATTGATTTTATCCCCTAGGTTGAATCCTATTAAGATTGTTGAAATTAATTATGTTTGCTATAATGCTATGTTTTTTTCTTGTATTTGAAATAATTTATTGGAATTCAACAATTGTTTTATTTTAAAAGCATAATTAAAAAAAAAAATTGTGAATAGTACTTACCATTGTCATTTTTCAAACAAGTGGAGTTGCATAAAGGCATGTGCTATTCAAAATGAATAGTTAGGGCAACTTACATGCCTTTACCCTCCTAAAACGGGTGGACTTACTCGTGTCTATTCCAATCCTTCCAATCTTGAGGAGATTAGGAGGGACAAGTTTTCGTCATAATTAATTCATCTTATACCTTCACTTGGACAAACTATGTAAGTTGGCATCCATTCCATATTGATTGAATCTATTAAGGAGTAATGCTAGAAGACTAAATGACATGAAAGTTGATGATTGGATAATTATTTAAGCGTTGATAAACGTACTCATTTCCTATTGGTAACGCATCATTTAGTTTACAAATTTTATCTAGTAAGTTATCTAATCTAAACTATAAAATGAATCCTATACACCAAATGAGGCCGCAATCTTGACAAATATGACCCTTATAGCCACTTTTAAAGAGAACCTCTTGGACCTAACTATCATTGCACTCGACCATTATGGACAGTAGGCGAGTTGATTATTTTTTCTTAGGTAATGCTAGGTAGACTTAATTTGTAAACTAAATTTGCAAATTAAATGATGTGTCACCAATAAGAAATAAGCACGTTAATCAACTTGAGTAATAATCTAATAATCAACTTTCACATCATTTAATTTACAAAATTGTCTAGAAATTTAGTCACCCTCGCAGTACCCTTTTTTCTTCTATAAATTGCTTTTTAAATGCTTTTCACTAATAATTGTTAGGGAGACTAAGTCAATTGAGTAGTCATTTAAATGCAACATGCACCATGATGAGCTATTCAAAGTGAATAGTAAGGGCAACTTACATGCCTTTGCTCTCCTAAAATGGGTGGACTTGTTCTTGTTTATTCCAATCTTATCAATCTTGTGGAGATTAGGAGGGGCAAGTTTTCGTCATAATTAATTCATCTTCTACTTTCACTTGGACAAACTATGTGAGTGGGCACCCACTTCTTCATTCCATATTGATTGAATCTAGTAAGTTATCTAATCTAAACCAATAAATGAATCCTATACACCAAATGAAGCCGAAATCTTGACAAAGATGAACCTTATAGCCACTTTTAAAGAGAACCTCTTGGACCTAACTATCATTGTACTTGACCAATTATTGACTATAGTCGAGGGTATTATTTTTTCTTGGATAATGTCAGACAAACTAAATTTGTAGACTAAATTTGCAAACTAAATGATGTGTCACAAACAAAAAAATAAGCACGTTAATCAACACTTAAGTAATAATCTAATTATCAATTTTGACATTGTTGATGCAAATTTCCGCCGTCGTCAGTCTTAACGAAAATGCACCTGCAAAACAATCAACACATTTGATCAGAGACCTAAGCCGCATGCGCCCACCAGGTGGGGGGGGGGGGTTTAGGTCAACGGATCTCCGATGCCTAAGTTAGTTTCTCTAAGATAGTAAAGTGTTTAGGACTTTTTAAAGCTCTGAAAATTTGGTAGAATATGGGGTATTTATAGGGCTAGGGCCGGCCATATAGTGTTTAATGGAGAGATATTCTCTAAATATTCACAAGATATTTAATAGGAGATAATATCTTGAGATAATCGGGTAATTATCTCTAATTGATTTAAATTAGGATTACTTACTTGATAGGAGTCATTCTTCAATTAGGAATGAATTAAAGATAGGATTTGGGTAATTAATCCTTATCTTTAATTCCTTGCTAAGGGCATGTGAGCTGTGGACAGTTGTGTTCAGCTGTTGAGACCTTCAGGGGTGTGAACTACATGTGGGAGCATCCGAGAAGCTTGCCTATTTATTGAGGGCAATGTTGTCTTTCTCGAATAAAGTCCACGTGTCACCTCTAGAATATTTGGGATTATTTTAGGCTCCACAAATGCCCCTACACCCACTGTGCTGCACATAAGAAAATGATAGTAGGTGTAGGAATCCCAAGCTACTTAGGCTTGTAGAATTGCTTCCCAATTTGAACTTGATCTTCTTTCTTGATTTGGAGATAGACTTCTTCTAGGAAAAGGAAAATAATTGCCCCCTATACCTATTTAATTCTGCCTTAAGCAGGGGATTAAATAAATTTGGAGAACAATCACTATTCCAACAAGGAAGAGAAGCCAAAGGAAATTTTTATTCACCCTCCCCTGGCATTCTTCTTTTCTTGCCCTTGAAAAGAGTCATCTCTCGTTGTAGTTATTCTTCTTTGTGCCGCACCAAGGTAAGAAAAATTTGAATTTTCTTTTTCTTGAATTTTTTGGGAGCCTTGGGGCTTGAAAAATTGGCTCGGCGGGGGCCGAGGTGGTGAGTGGTGCCTGGCAAGGAGGCCACGGTGCAGCAGGTGGTGCGGCACGGTTAGCAAGTGCGCGGGGGCGTTGAGCTGGGTGAGGCGTAAGGCTCTAGCCCTTTTGAATGTGCTTGGCGAGGGCCAAGTTAGGTGAAGCAGGCTTGGGCCTGTAGTAGCAGGCGAGAGGAAGCAAATGAGATTGGCTGAGAGGCCTTAGGGCCTACTTGGAGTACGCTAGGAGCAAATGAAGGAAGATGGGTGGAGGTGTGGGCCTCCCCTTCGCTGGGTCGTGCAACTTGGGCCACGTCCATGTTGTTCCTTGTGTGTGTGTGTGTATATATATGCA